CCTCTACTCGCTCCCATCACCCTGCACAGACAGGTGACCCAGACGGCGAGGGGAAACCGGCGGAGGGACGTTAGGAATCTGCCCAAGGAGGACGCGGCACATTCAGACGCGCTCCTGCGGCCGTCTGGAACGCTCTTCCTTCCGATATTAGGAAGCCACTGGAGCTATGCAATTTTAATTAATCTCGATTGAAAACTCGTTTCTTTAGAACTGACTCTTGTGTTTTAGTTTGTCGTCCTTCCCCTGCACCTCCGATCACCACGGTTGGTTGCGTACGGTGCGAAAAAAGTTCAACATAATACATACTACGGCTTACGGTGGAACTCTCAACAGCAGCAACGCGACTCAGAACCTCCTCCTCTCTACACCGAGATGCCAGGCCGTGGTCACTGCCAGACGTCGTGTGGAACCGTGGCCACCATTTAATGCTGCTGCAACTTCGCAGCAGCATTAAATCCACACCGATAGACGTTTAAGAGACACTTTCAGGGCCCCAGCCTCCTCGGCCGCCCGGCTTCTGAGCGACACTGAGCTTAGCTCCGAGCCTAAGAGTCACGGTCGTTTACGTCCGTGAAATGCTGAGCGCGTTATAAATTGCATAATTGCTATTATTGTCTCTCCACGCTACTGTAAGCATTTTTCACGCCTTTCTTTCTCATTTCCGTATTGTTCGTTAACGATCGTGTTGCTCAATGCCACCTCAGGCAGGGAAGGCCGCACCGGGTAAAAACTCTTCGGGATAAAAACAGGTCCCTCTGCTTTTGCGATCAAGTTCAGCTCTCTACTCGCACCCCGCGACCTGCTGTGTCCACCTATTTATTGCGCGGGGAGGTGAGACGTACGCATAGTAAACTGCAGGGGACATCCCACATCTCCGCCCCAGGTCTCCTCCACCCACAACACTGCGAACAGGATGCCAGAATGCATTTGAATGAATGATGGAGGAATGCTTTGGACTCCGCTATTGTCTGCAAACACGGCCACTATATCTACCGTAACGCGGGGAGGCATGACAGCTCATGGCTCTGGTGTCTGCAACGTGAAGCAGTCTTCGGAACGCTGCAGCAATCGAAGTAAAACTTGCATCGAGACGTGGGGACTCACGTCTGAAAGCTTTTACAGAGACTGCCGGTGCAGTTACATGCGCATGCTTTTTTCCAGATGGTTACAAAGTTAACGTGCAAGTGAGTGCAGTGTCACTCTGCAGTTACGGACTTAGAACTTCACTTTGATCCTTAAAATATAAATCGTAACGTGCGAGGGGCTCGCCGAGTCCCTCTGGAGGTTTGACATCTCACATTTTAACAACAAACGAATATGTGCAATTACGCGCGTAAGTTGAACTTCTTACGCACCGTAAGTAGCCAACCGTGATTATCGGGGCTGTGCTTTTTAATGAAAATATCCTTTCGAGCCCCCTTTGCTGACTTCACTGCCGTCTGGAACGCTCTTCCTTCTGATATTTGGAAGCCACTGCAGCTTTGTACTTTTAAATCTATGTTGATTTTGTGTTTACTTTGTCGTCCTTCCCACGCACCTCAGATGAGTGTGGTTGGCGACGTGCGGTGCGAAAAAGTTCAACATACATCCTATATTATAAAAAAAACAAACGAATTTGTTCAAATGTTATCTTGATGCAAATGTTCGCTACGGTGAATAATGTATGTGTGTGTGTCTCGGGGTCATTCTTATTTGCTCAGAAAGAATAACTATGTCCCTATTAATAAGATGGAGCTTAGCGCGTGCGTTGCGCGCCGACTGTAACTGTGCAAACCCGAGTGAGTATTCACGCGCGCCTGACTCCCTCTCATTCACGAGGGCTCGCTGGAAATTCGACGGTGAGAATGCCATGGGAGGCTCCCCCTTTCGCCGTCGGGATTTCGCGGCCCCTGGTGGCGCTGGAGCAGCTCGTCCGCGTGTCGCGCGGTGCGTCCACGGCGCGCCTTTGTTCAGCGCGACGGCGACGACGTTCCGTGCGGGGCGTCGTTCCTTCCGTCGTCGGCACGACCCCAAAGCACACACACAAAAAAACGCACACCGCGTGGGACCGGCAAGGCAACGGAGCCGTGCCGGGAACACGCGGTGGCGGCGGTGGCGGCACTCGGCCAAGCTCGTTCCCATACTGAAAAAAATGCTGCTTGGCATTGTTACAAAACCCCCACACAATGGCGTCTCTTTTTTTTTTTACGCCACGGGGTTTACGTCTTCAATCAGCGAGTTCATTGGATTTAGTTTTTTTTTTGACTTGACACGGAGAAAATGTCTTCTATCCATCACGACGAGCAATTGTGATGTGAACAAATTGTGCTGTTCCTCCTAAATTGGTCCAATTTGGGCGCATGATAAAAAAACACATCTGCAGGCATCATCTTCCTTCCGACAGAGACTCCTCCGGGGGGCAAGGGGGGGGGTAGCGCAATCTCACCGGCAAAAAAACGGAGCTTTGTTTAACACGTAGGCGGAAGGTAGTTGATGCCTGCTAATGGATAACCATTGTAATTTATATGTATTCATCAATCCCCTCCACTCCACCCTGCCTTCGCACGTGAAGGGCTCACACGTGACGCCATCACATGCATCCCTCTATTTAAAGAACGAAACAGGAGGATTTCTCCACAAAGCTGGCTGTCTGCCTGATGATGCGAGTAGTAATTACCGGCGAAAACGTTTGTGGATCTGCTCTCCAACACACCGGTGTGCTGTACTCGTAACGAATTGGGCATGTTCTGTTTGCGCGACAAACCTTACTTATTGGCCGTGTCGGGTGGTGGCGGTTTCAACGACACATTTCTATTTTGACGCGATCTAACCCCAAAACACCTCTCCTGTGGACATACACGGAGCTTTGTACGCGACGTTGTGGTTACCTCGGGGCACAGATCAGGTTCATCGCGCAGAACAGTCTCTCGGTTTAATCCGACCAGCACCCAACCAGGCGCTCAGTGTCACGCGAATTCCAACACGTCGGCCCTGTTGTTTGCGTCACCACGGGAGAGCGAGGTTCGTAAAGCGAATACTGCCCGTCCGTGAGCACAACTCCAGATGTGGCCCATCATTGTCGTGAGCATTTCGATTCTGTTCCATGAGCCAAGGGTATCTGCTAAAATTCCACATTGCACGTGACTTGTTTGTTTAATGTTGGGAGAAAAAACACCCGCGTCTGCCGTTGGACGATCGTGATATGTGAATGTTAAAGGGGAAGGATGAAATTGAATGTAGGATAACCTTAGTACACTTGTTCATTGTTCTGTTTATACGGTCATTAATTATTGCCTTATAGTTAAAAAAATGGGGTTAAGAGTCAGCTAACCGATGTTAGTTTTTTGAGCTTTGAATACGATAAAAACCAGTAACGTGATCTTTTATTCTGCCTGGTAACTCATGTTTCACAAATCTGTCGCAACAACGTGCTACATTTCGCTATATCCCAATTATGAGGACAGAAGGCTCATTAATGAGTACATTACACTGGAACTGCATTTAATATGCAGTGAAGCTGTTCCCACCCACTTCCATCACCTTCCAAGGCCTCATTTGATTACAATGAAGCTTTTATCACAGTGCTCAACATTTTCTTTGTAGGCAGGCGACTACAGATTCATCCGGGTCCCCGATAGGAGCATGCAATTAGCAGAAAATTGACGTGACTTACGTTCTAAATCTAAAACACGGGGTGTGCAAGTCACGGTGGCTCGACTCTGCGGTACCCTGAAAGACTGACACGAGTACTTTGAATGTGAAGGTAAAACACGGGTAAAGGGGCAGCCCAGCAATTGCTCGCCCACGCCACTGCTGGCGGACGGGGCCTCCACTACAGAGGGACCTCGAGAGAGCCACCTCTCTAGGTAAGCTATTTGGCCAGCTGCTCCACACTGGGAGTTCCCACACTTTACCCCACAACGTGTACGTTGAACTTCTTTCGCACCGTGCATAGCCGACGACATGCGACCTGTCGATTTACAGACTGTGGGGAACCCATTCATGCTGTTGGATGGGAGATTCCACAATCCGAATCGGAATCTTTATTTTAGAATGCAGGAGCAATCCGATGAGCTATGAAGCTCTTTTGGACAGATGTCCACTACGGGCGGGTCAATAAGTTACATTTGGATTTATGTACAGTAGAACTCTTCTTAACGACCACCCCTGTTCACGACTAATCGCACAACGGGCTTCCACAGAGCCCAATGTGTAGTGTATAGTGTAGTGTATAGCAGTGTATAGCATATAGTAGTGCAGTGCATCGTAGTATAGTGTATAGTGTAGTGTATAGTAGTGTATAGTAGAACCCCTCTTAACGACCACAACCGTTAACGACTAATCACTTAACGACAGTGCCTCCATAGTGCCCAATGTGTAATGTATAGTGTAGTGTACTGTAGTGTATAGTGTAGTGTATAGTAGTATAGTGTATAGTAGTGTATAGTGTAGTGTATAGTAGTGTATAGTGTAGTGTATAGTAGTATAGTGTACAGTAGTGTAGTGTATAGTAGTGTATAGTGTAGTGTATAGTAGTATAGTGTGTAGTAGTGTATAGTGGTGTAGTGTATAGTGTAGTGTATAGTAGTGTAGTGTATAGTGTAGTGTATAGTAGTGTATAGTGTAGTGTATAGTGTAGTGTGTAGTGTATAGTGTAGTGTATAGTAGTGTAGTGTGTAGTAGTGTATAGTAGTGTAGTGTATAGTATATAGTAGTGTATAGTGTAGTGTATAGTAGTGTAGTGTGTAGTAGTGTATAGTAGTGTAGTGTATAGTAGTGTATAGTGGTGTAGTGTATAGTGTAGTGTATAGTAGTGTAGTGTATAGTAGTGTATAGTGTAGTGTATAGTGTAGTGTGTAGTGTATAGTGTAGTGTATAGTAGTGTAGTGTGTAGTAGTGTATAGTAGTGTAGTGTATAGTGTAGTATATAGTAGTGTATAGTGTAGTGTATAGTAGTGTAGTGTGTAGTAGTGTATAGTAGTGTAGTGTATAGTAGTGTATAGTGTAGTGTATAGTGTAGTGTGTAGTGTATAGTGTAGTGTGTAGTGTATAGTGTAGTGTATAGTAGTGTAGTGTGTAGTAGTGTATAGTGTAGTGTATAGTAGTACAGTAGTGTAGTGTGTAGTGTATAGCGGTGTAGTGCCTCAAAAGAGCCCAATCTGTTCGCTGACCGACCATTCCCCTGTTAACGACGTGCTGTTGTAGGTACAGTACATATTCATTAATGTATTGATTAACCATGTTTTTTATTGTGTGTATACTGTTGTTAGTATATTTATGTATTAATATCTATTGTTTAAATATTATAAAGTACGTTTTTGTTGGTTAAAAAGGGGTAACTTTCGATGCTATCGGAACGAATGAAGCCTTTAGCGTGCATTTCCTAGACTCGCTTAACGACCCAAATCACTTAACGACCGAATTCGCGGAACCTATTACCGTCGTTAAGAGGGCTTCTACTGTACGTCCAACTTCTTTCGCACCGTACGTAGACACGCCTGCTAACCGGAGGCGCATTTAAGATACTCGACCGAGCCGCTTTGAAAGGCTCACGCCGAACCGTTCATCTTTGAGGAAGGAGGTGTTTGGGTGAAATGGCGATAGAAGCATAATGAACGGTGAATGGGATATTTTTTTTTTGCACCGGGTGTATCCAACCTGAATGAACATTTGTGCGTGGAGCGAAACGTCGGACATCATGTCGAGCAGCATGCGCGTGGCATGGCCCGAACGCTCGGCGGAGAGCTGTGCAGTTGGTACAGCCGCATGAATATTAATGAACTCGCCAAAGCATAGCATTGTCATTACTTTTCATATGAGCGCAATGCAATATTAATGAGACTTGCTGCATATGTAGATGTTTAGCGGTGTGCGGTGTGCACAGGATGCTAATTTGTGAAGAAAAAAGTATAGAATTCTCTGCAGATTAAAATAATGACAACATCTGTTGACTGTACAATTACGTATTTAAGGGACAATATAATTATTTACTCACGCTCAGATTTAGTTAAACGCCTGACTGTCAGAGAGTCAAATTAATGCGCGTTCGGGGTTCCTAAGAGTTCCCCGGTGTACTCCATAGACTCGAGTAGCCAAACGAAGGCACTCTTAGATGCGGAGAAGGTGGAGACCTTGAGGCGGTACCCCACGTTTGGTGCCCAGCGCGACCGGCACCGTCGCCACGGCCATGGAGCGAACGCTGACAAAAATTCAGCCTCCCGCTCGGAATGGCAACCAAAGAAGGAGCCGAGCACGCTTCGTCGCGGCTCAGCAGAGGCCGGGTGGAGCAACTGCGTCACACCTGGGTGGGGCAACTGCGTCACACCTGGGTGGGGCAACTGCGTCACACCTACGTGGACCAACTGCGTCATGACTGGGTGGAGAAACTGCGTCACACCTGGGTGGGGCAACTGCGTCACACCTATGTGGACCAACTGCGTCATAACTGGGTGGAGAGCAACTGGGTTACACCTGGGTGGAGCAACTGCGTCATAACTGGGTGGAGCAACTGCGTCACACCTGGGTGGGGCAACTGCGTCATAACTGGGTGAAAGCAACTGCGTCACACCTGGGTGGACCAACTGCGTCATAACTGGGTGGACCAACTGCGTCACACCTACGTGGACCAACTGCGTCATAACTGGGTGGAGCAACTGCGTCACACCTGGGTGGGGCAACTGCGTCATAACTGGGTGAAGCAACTGCGTCACACCTGGGTGGACCAACTGCGTCACACCTGCGTGGACCAACTGCGTCACACCTGGGTGGACCAACTGCGTCACACCTGCGTGGACCAACTGCATCACACCTGGGTGGACCAACTGTGTCATAACTGGATGAAGCAACTGCGTCACACCTGGGTGGACCAACTGCGTCACACCTGCATGGACCAACTGCGTCACACCTGGGTGGGGCAACTGCGTCATAACTGGGTGAAGCAACTGCGTCACACCTATGTGGACCAACTGTGTCATAACTGGATGAAGCAACTGCGTCACACCTGGGTGGACCAACTGCGTCACACCTGCGTGGACCAACTGCGTCACACCTGGGTGGACCAACTGCATCACACCTGGGTGGAGCAACTGCGTCACACCTACGTGGACCAACTGCGTCATAACTGGGTGGAGCAACTGCGTCACACCTGGGTGGACCAACTGCGTCACACCTGGACTGACCAACTGCGTCACACCTGGGTGGACCAACTGCATCACACCTGGGTGGAGAAACTGCGTCACACCTGGGTGGACCAACTGCGTCACACCTGGGTGGACCAACTGCGTCACACATGGGTGGAGCAACTGCATCACACCTGCGTGGACCAACTGCGTCACACCTGCGTGGACCAACTGCGTCACACATGGGTGGACCAACTGCGTCACACCTGGGTGGACCAACTGCGTCACACCTGGGTGGACCAACTGCGTCACACTTGCGTGGACTAACTGCGTCACACCTGCGTGGACCAACTGCGTCACACATGGGTGGACCAACTGCGTCACACTTGCGTGGACTAACTGCGTCACACCTGCGTGGACCAACTGTGTCACATCTGGACTGACCAACTCCGTCACACCTGCGTGGACCAACTGCGTCACACCTGCGTGGACCAACTGCGTCACACCTGCGTGGACCAACTGTGTCACACCTGGGTGGAACAACTGTGTCACACATGGGTGGAACAACTGCGTCACACCTGGACTGACCAACTGCGTCACACCTGGGTGGAACTGCGTCACACCTGGGTGGACCAACTGTGTCACACATGGGTGGACCAACTTCGTCACACCTGGGTGGACAAACTGCGTCATACGTGGGTGGACCATCTGTGTCGTACCTGGGTCGACCAACTCCGTCGCACCTGGGTGGACCAACTGCTTCGAATCTCCGATTAGCACGGTTGGCTACGTACGGCGCGAAAGAAGTTCAGCATACATACTGCACTCTGTAAGTACGCAAATGAGTGGCAAATTTCCATCTGCATCAATCCTGAACCCGCTTCAACAAGGCACACAAACCAGCGTGGTTCAGGTCACGGTCAAACCATCCACTTGACTTGACGCGGTACTGGAAGGCCTCGATTCAGCGGTGGAAGGAGAGCGAACCGGCGACCTCTGGATCACAAATCCAGTGGCCCTACCCGTTACACCACAGTGGCAGCCTCCCCAATAAATGCAGTACTTTACTTTGTCGTAAAAGCACGCTTCCTATAAACGACGAAAGTGCCATGACCATGGGAATGCGGGATTTTCACTCCCGGCTCATCCATGGCGGCGACTGCTGCCGCGTTTGTCCGTTTGAACGCGCTGATAACTGTCGATGTTTGGGTTTTTAAAAGCCAAAAACAATGGCGGACAGCGATGGCGCAAGCCGCCATCGCACCAACGGGAGCATTAATGTTACACCTGAAACGTGACTCGCGAACGAATATTGACACTTGGCTCTGACCCCTCGGACCCCGTGACAAACCCCCCCCCCCCCGCCCGCTCCCATCGCTCTACCCCAGAGTACCGCGACAAATGACGGTGCAGAGACTGACCATCACACCGCTCATTACACTCGAATGAGGGATTTTAAAATTGGCGACGCGAAAAAAAATCCACGATGACGGCAAAAACCGCCGTGGAAAAAAAACAATTTGGCGTGTGACACCACGGCCCGCGAGATTGCCCCTCGCTGTCAAGCAGCGCACAATGGAGGTGTCGTGGACAAAGCCTTCACAGGTAACGCAACTAATTTCAGTAATTAATCCATTCAGGCGCGCGGGTGTTTTTTTTATTTCTTCCTTTTTACGGACCTCTATAATCAACCTCGCGCTTCTACTGCCCTCTCTTTAACAGAACCTGCTATCTATTGCTCCTCTCCCCCCCCCCACCATCCTCTCTCTCAAGGTCCGAGCACTACAGCTGAAACAATCACGGCGCTTTGAGATGCGGTCACATTTAGACTGATTGCGTACATTGAACTGTACGGTCGTTAATCAATGTTATTAGTAATCGGTTATTATTGGGGGGGGGGGGGGGGGGGGGGGGGAGTTGGTTACACACCAGGAAGGCAATGGTATGATTTTAATTTCTGGTCCATCGATTGTACCAGTAATTGTAAGAGCATTTTTTTAAAGTGGAATGCAGTTGTATAAAATGCAAGATCTATATTAATAGTTAACTTTCGAAGAAAACCAGCCCCACACTTAACGATCCGTAAAATGTCAAACGTGAGTTTTTTAGCGCCATGCAGAGAGTTTTGGTGCCCCATTCTGTAGACAAGAGCCACGAGCTCCGAATATAACAGTGTCAAATAGCAGCAGTGTGTCACAAAATACACAAGCACATGGATGGTGGAACGAGCCTCACAAATCACATCATCTTGACACATGCAGTGTAATCCAATTCCACACTACACGTTATATAAATATGCCTGGAAGCCTGCCATCCAACTGCTTTAAAAAAAAAACAATGCATCACAGTCTAACGAGATCTCAACTAGCCACCTCATTTAGCAGTATGTGCAGTTTAATTCCTATCCGTCCTGAATTACATACATTTTAACCAGTGATCAAATGACAAAATGAAAACTCGCAAGGTCAGGAGCATAATTCAGACATTTGAGCACTATCATCTCGAGGGTATAGGTTTACATTAATGTGTTTATATTTCAGCAAAATATAATAGGGCTGTCAGAGGCTCTGTGGCCAAATAATAAATGATTTGTTTAGACCAAGAACCACTTGGAAAAATAAGCTCCCGGTGTCTCCAACGCTCAAGCAAACACCGGGGCAGCAATCATCTCCAGTGGCCAGCCCTGGGCCTGTGGTGGAAATATGTCAAGCCAACACCATTTAATTTAATGCATGCCTAACAGCAGCCCGATTCCCATCCTACATGCAAGAGGACGTAAGCGTGACTCGATTTAAAATGTGTAAGATGCAGCTAAAATTTCGGACAAATTGTTTAAACATTGACATCGCCCAAAGTCCCATCAACAGTGTTTGTCAATGAAATGTGGAGATTTGTAAAAAAAAAAATCTGCAATCCAAACAACGTTTTTTCTGACGGTGATTTTGTGTTTAAGAAACACTCCGGAATTGTAATGTCCATTCAAAAAAATCCCATTCGGATTTTCAACCGGATGCATTCAGTCTACTATCAAGTCGTAAATTAACTGTTTTCTTTTCACACTGCCACATGTCCTCTCTAGAGCAGTGGATCTTCTTAATCTAGGGGTGCATCACGCTGCATCCCCTGGGACTGCGAGATGCCCTTTCTGGGGGCGCGAGACATGGCCACATTTTATTAGAAGGCAAATAATCGAAACACAAATTAAGTACAGGAACGTAAGCACAACTACTTTGTTTAATCAAACCCTATGTATGTATTTATTAACAGTATATATATTTTTACTATGAGAACAAAGGGGTAACAAGCTGCAGTAAAGATTAAGAACCACTGCCCGAGTGGGACTCTCAAACGCTCCCGTCGTGGGAAGCCCTTCCTCCAGCGGGAGCACGAGCGGGCAACTGCAGGGCTGCGCCTTTTACGCGTCGCATGCATCACACCGGGATTTGACAGAACCGGACGTTGGCACGTTCACCAACTTTTGAACACAACCTCAGAAAACCCAGAAAAAAAAAGACTCCTGAGGTTGTCGGCATCCTGCGCATGCGACGACGGCGGTGCCACTTGTGTTCCTCACTGACTTCCATCGACTCAGCCGGAGCGAACACAAGGAGCACCCTCCAGGTTACCGGAGAAGAATATGTGACCTCAACCGCGTGCCGTAGCCGACGCATTCAATGAACCGTCACAATGAGGTCCCCACCCACCCACCTTCCCTCCTTTCAGCGGCCACAATCAGCCAATGGAGGAAGGGACGGACTGGAGAGACATTATCGCTCCGATACCACCACGTGCCCCCACTCTTCCCCCCCTTCGTTGCGTGTAAGTCTCGCTGCTGTACACGAGGCCGTTTCTGAGCGCCGTGCGACACAAACGCTGCTGATATTCTACCACCTCCGCAAACAGAAGACGAAAAAACTGTTCCCTTCAGAGCGAAGGATCCATGTTTACCGTGTACGCCTATTTGTTCAGTGCTCTAGCAGTGGCTCGCCTATTTGACGGCGCTACAGATAGTTGTGTGTTTTTTAAAAATCATTATTATTGTCTAGAACCTTTCCTTGTCAGAATCATAACATTTTATCTGAGGACAGAAAGTTCCCACTGACATTCCTTGCTCATTATTGTGCCGGTGTGAGACTAACTGCTCCCTCTAACGAGAAGTCTGGGGGGAAAAAAAACCCAGCAGATCTCTGCAAAAAACTCTTCCGTAATGAATGGTGAGGTGAGGGGGAGAACAGAGTGAACCATACAATGACCAAAGCTGTGAGCATTAATTGGGAAAAATGCAAATTGGAGCCGCTCGCTTTCTCTCATGCGGTTTCAAAAACACGTCCTAGGCTGCCACCCCTTAGCCCAGCGTGTTGCAGAGCCATGTTTTTCAATCTCCATGCTGCCCGGGTGACCGTGCCCAGAGATGTGGACATGAAAGCTCTCTAGTAATAATTTTAAAAAATATATTTATACCTACGTGACTTTACCGAAAGAAACCAAAGAGTATGGATTCCTGCAGCCACGGAAGCTTCAAATCAAGAATGAAAGCTCTCCTTCTCAGACGCAATCGGTGGGGCGCCTCCAATTGGCAGCCACTGCAATCACGGACGCATTCTTCTTCCGCGTGGCATGCAAGGGTGACGTCACAGTTGAACGTTAAGGTCCTTCGACCAATCCAAGGTGGCAGTGAAGACGCCGCGTGGGTGTCGCCCTCGTGGAAGCGGTGGCAATGGAGTCGAGGCATCGCCTGCCTCTCCACTTCCCCAACCTCCCGCCGTGGAGTAGCCCGGCAAGACATCCGTCACGATTGCTTTGCACATTCTGAAATAACGGCGGCGAGAAGCCTGGGAGTGGTGGAAGAGGTCGGAGAGTTGTCATGGAGACTCGCAATGTCTTGACGGTCTGCCAAACGGCAGAGGTGCTCCTCCTGCAGATCACGTGCTTGCCAGCAGCACATTGCTGCTGGTTCTTTTTTTTTTGCAGATTCTCACAGATTGTCACAGATTGTTACAGATTGTGACAGACTGTTATAGATTGTTACAGACTGTCACAGACTCTCACAGACTGTTATAGATTGTCACAGACTGTCACAGACTGTTATAAATTGTTACAGACTGTCACAGACTGTTATAGATTGTTACAGATTGTCACAGACTGTCACAGACTGTTATAGATTGCTACAGACTGTCACAGATTGTTACAGACTGTCGCAGACTGTCAGATTGTCACAGACTGTCACAGACTATTATAGACTGTCACAGATTGTCACAGACTGTCACAGACTGTCACAGATTATCACAGACTGTCACAGACTGTCACAGATTATCACAGACTATCACATTGTCACAGATTGTCACAGATTGTCACAGACTGTCACAAGACTGTTATAGATTGTTACAGACTGTCACAGACTGTCACAGATTGTCACAGACTGTCACAGATTATCACAGACTGTCACAGACTGTCACAGACTGTCACAGCCTGTCACAGATTGTCACAGACTGTCACAGACGGTTATAGTTACAGACTGTCACAAACTGTCACAGACTGTCACAGACTGTTATAGATTGTCACAGACTGTCACAGACTGTTATAGATTGTTAGAGACTGTCACAGACTGTCAGATTGTCACAGACTGCCACAGACTGTCATTAACTGGTATAGATTGTTACAGACTGTCACAGACTGTCACAGATTATCACAGACTGTCACAGACTGTTATAGATTGTTACAGACTGTCACAGACAGTCACAGACTGTCACAGATTATCACAACTGTCACAGACTGTTATAGATTGTTACAGACTGTCACAGACTGTCACAGACTGTTATAGATTGTCACAGACTGTCACAGATTGTCACAGACTGTCACAGACTGTTATAGATTGCCACAGACTGTCACAGACTGTCACAGACTATCACAGACTGTCACAGACTGTCACAGACTGTTACAGACTGTCACAAATTATCACAGACTGTCATAGACTGTCACAGATTGTTACAGATTGTCACAGATTGTCACAGACTGTCACAGACTGTGACAGATTATCACAGACTGTCACAGACGGTCACAGATTGTCACAGACTGTCACAGACTGTCGCAGATTGTCACAGACTGTCGCAGATTGTTACAGATTGTTACAGACTGTCACATATTGTCACAGATTGTCACATACTGTCACAGATATCACAGATTGTCACAGACTGTCACAGACTGTCGCAGATTGTCACAGATTGTCACAGACTGTTACAGACTGGTCACAGACTGTCACAGATTGTCACAGACTGTCACAGATTGTCTCAGACTGTCACAGATTGTTACAGAATTGTCACAGACTGTCACAGACTGTCTCAGACTGTCACAGATTGTTACAGAATTGTCACAGACTGTCACATATTGTCACAGATTGTCACAGATTATCACAGATTGTTACAGAATTGTCACAGACTGTCACAGATTGTCACAGACTGTCACAGACTGTCACTGGGACTGGCACTGTGACCGGGACCAGCTCCAGGACCAGCACCGGGACCCGGGTCTGCGACTGGCCACGCCACGTTGCTTGTGCTGGGTCGGCCTGACCCCAGGAGCCGGGGGTGGCCGAGACCAACTTGCCAATTGCACTGCACAGCGTGGTCCAAATGTCCTGTGACACCCCCCCCCCCCCGCCCCCCCACCCAATTTTCAGTAAAAATGTACTTACAAAAATGTTAACTTTCAGGAAATGAAAAGGTCGGTCACAAGTCATTTGGACCACCCCTGAACACAGGACGAGGGGAGGGGGACTACAGTGGTGGTTTAACAAAGAGATGCCGCTCGAGTCGAATCAGACCCTGCAGCTTGTCAACTCACTTCTATTAGAGCTGAATTTTGTGTTTAGCTTCTTGTAATACCCTCCTAATTAGCACGGTTGGCTACGTACGGTGCGAAAGAAGTTCAACATGCGTAGAGAACAACACGCGCTGTTGACCATTTCAATAAAGTCCTCTTTAAGCGAAAAGACAAGCTTCAAGTAGCACTTAGTCGGACCCGGATAATAATCATTTACATTTATGAAGTGCAATTCCTCCAGCATGCAACACGCTGCCTGCAATTCCCAGTGATGGCTTTGTGGCTTCGTAACGCAGTGAGCTTCTTATCGAGTGGAGGCGACGTGACTGATGGCCATTGAGGGAGCTGCTTGAAGTGTCGCCGACAGTTGGAGAATGGAACTGGTGGAGTGCATGTTTCACCTCGCCTGGCACCACCATGCATCGTGACCCCCACCCCTCCGCACCCCGTTCTCACCGCTTGTCGACGGGAAGAATCCGACGAGCTATGAAGCGCTTCTTCACAGATGACAAGTAGGAGCGGCTCAGAAAGTTACAACAACAAAAAGCACAATCAGGAGTGCTAAGGGAAGGAAAGTTAAGCTCATCACTAAAATAATATATATTTAGCTTCTTTTTCAGAAGCGACCTGGCCACAAATGATAGCTCAACTAAGCAACCTATCATGTGGAACTGTATAGCAGCCAAATAACCGACATAATCAAAATGAATGTTCCTGAATGTAATATTTTTAGGAAGCGACCTTACCACATACAGCAGCCCAATATTCTTATTGCACGTTTCTACACGTGGAGGGAAAAAAACGGAGGACCCGGAGAAAAAAAATCGACGCGACCACGGGTAAAGAGACGCGCAAACTCTCAATATACAGCAGGCATCATGGTTGGGATGGGGATCGAACCTCCGACCTCCTGAACACCAAGCGAGGAAGTTACAGTAACATCACGGCACCGTGGCGCCCCGAGCCCTTCAAGATCCTCTGTACTGAAGGTAACTCAGTTCAAGCCGGTGTCGGACAGGGCGGTAAACAAAACCTACCGCACAGCCCCCCAATTTGTTTGCAGATTGAACCGCGTTTAATTCGGAGGAATGTCCGACGTTTCGCCCCCCGCGCCGAGAGCATCGGGAACTGAATTATTCAGGAAATTGAAGAAGCTCCCGGGCAGGTGGAGCGAAACGTCGGACTTCGTGCCAAGCTGCACCGCTGTCCGACCCGCAGGCGCGTACATCTGCAGGGTGAAAAAAAATAAATTGAAACTTCACGTCGCGTAATATGCCACAGGAACACCGCCAACTGAAGAAATCCACTGGCAGAACAATCTGTCGTGTCCAAGAGAGGATCATGCTGGAGTACTTGTATGAATCAAACACGTCTGTGTCGCGCAATGGGGACTGAACGAGATGTGAAGGACTACTTGTGTGGAGACATATCCCGGCAACAACAAACAAAAAAAAACCTATAAAACAATATTGGAAATAAATCCACTTATATCCCACGGCTATACCGAGCAAGAGCAGCTACGTGAGCTACCATAGACGCAATATTTAGTGCTGCCCTGTAAATTGTTTGGCTTGAAAGACGCCATTTTTCCCGACAAAGTCACACCACGTGCCCACTCGACTCGTGGTGCTTGGTTTTGCCCATGCTGCCACCGGTGCCGTATGCGGTTTTCCATTGTTGTAACTCTAGACATCACCATTGCATATTCATATTTGATCAGCTTGTAGTATTCATTCGTATTTTTATTCTATTGTAAAATTGAATATTGCAAAACGTAGTTGTTTATTTCATTTCCAATTGAAACCACTTATAATTTATGTATTAGGATCTATATAATTTAAGCAATGTGGTCTCATCATTTGCCGTCTGTATGCAGCTGTAATTATATTTTCTCACTCGCTTATTTACACACTTTCTCTTTGATTCGAGAGAGTACAACAGCCTTCACCCTCCCCTTTCCATCAGTGCGATTTGGCGCTGTATTTTACGTGCTGCTAAACCCAATGCTAAATTAGCCTCCGCAGTCATTATTGGTAGAGAGCAGTAAGCATAACATACGCTTCTGCATCAAACAAAGCACGATTGTCGGGTTCGTGTCGGTATATAGTTCGCGTTTTGATTGCTGCACTTTCCTTGTAATTGGCATCGTATGTTAACGGAATTCAGAATGCAGATGACGTTCAATTGAATACTCCCAAGCATCGCTCAGCGTGAATCCGCAGCGATGTAATTGGCAACCCTCGGTACGGCCTTGGACCTCACTTCTGCATGGAGGTACCTTTTGGAGATTTAAGTTGGTCACTAAAAAAACATCGTAAAATTGCCAACTGTCGATGTTGAAAAGCGTCTCGAGAAACCTGCAGCGCTTCTTATAACACGGTGCAATTCCGTTTGACTTATGAGTGCAAAAATAACGCACGCGCAAATAGTAATATTTGTTGCATTGCACCCTCTAAGAAATGCGGTGTTGCCTAGGAAGCTTCCTCGAGATGAAAGACCCTGCCGCGCGCATTGTTTTCATCGCCCTGTAAGAGCAGCCTGTTCTCTATTCGGGTTTCACTGCGGATTCACAATACCAAGCAAAAACACATCCACTGGCTACCGAGGGGGGGTAAAGCAAAATACAGTAACGTAATTGTACGCGGAGTCAGATCAACAAAGTCCCCGTCGAAGCTTCCACGCCGAAACGTCAGACACCGTGCCAGACAACATGCGGTGAACAGCCGTGGCGCATGATTTATTCGCACTCATCACGGGCGCCTTTCGCGACGCGTCGACGAGCAAACGACGCCGGTGAGCGGCACAGCAAGGACGGACCGATGGCCTCTCGCATCCACCCCCCACCACTCACCACCCACCCACCCGGGGGTTCCCCTCCACCGACACGCGGAGCGTGGTGAGTGCTTGCGGCGGATGAGTACACGGGTCGCAACGCAGCAGGCTGGCCGGGGGCTGGGGGCTTGGATGGTTTTCCAACGCCAGCGCAAGCAACCGGGCTACAACGTCGTGAATATTGGCTCGGGTGTAAAAAAACAGACGACGTGAAATAGCATCGCCCCTCCTCCCCCAGTGCCGATGGGAGATGAGGATATTCTAGAATCGGACGGCTATTTCAAAAAATAAAATCCTGCGCTTTGTTTTTGTTTACAGGTGGTTATTAAAGGTCTAAAGGACCAAAGTATAGACAATGCGTTCCTTATTTTGTTACATCTCAGAAGCTAAAGCAGGGTTTGAGCCAGGATAGTGCTCGAATGGGCGATATTCATGCACAGAACAGGAGCTGTAGCCTGCTGCGGGGGCTATGTTATCCGCAGAGGACAGTGCAGACAAAAACATCCATGGTTGTACTGTACGTCTATGCTCCCCACACTTACCAGCATGGTGGATTATGGTCAAACAGCACGATGTGGGGAGGCCTTCGTCCAGCAATGGATTGACAGACCGGCTGTACAATTATGAACAACTACATCCTTATACGATTTAGCAGCCAGCTCATAGTACCAACGAAAAAAAGTCAAATTAATTTAGCTCAGTATCCGACATGGCACCCAACGTGATCAGTTTCCTAATTAGATCCAAACTACGTCAATAATTGGCACAGCACTCGTAAGTTGATCGTGGTAACGGTTTTCATTTGCAATATTTCATTTGAAGCGAAATGGCTCGTTTGCGTGCATTTTCAATTGCCGGCGATTTTACCCACGTGCAATTGTAGCACAGCTGAAAGCACAGAAGCGGAACAAAAATGCATCCCCTGTGGAGTTTGTTGCACGTGGCCTTTGCAGTGTCTCTTTTGAACACGGGGCCAATTCTAATCGGTAACAATGCACCAATTGTGCAGGAGCGGTCAAGGGTAGAGGCTTCTGAACTTGTCCGGCAGGGAGTGCGTCAATTTTCGGGGCAGCAAGGGATGTCCCTTCACGCAACCGAATGCACGCAAGACCAACAACAACACGTACATTGTAGAGCCTACCCTAGCTTGTTTTTATTTGACGCGGTAAGGCCCGCTGAACTATATATGTAGCTCTTTTTTTCGAAGCGACTTGGCTATTACAAATAATAGCTCAACGAGTGTTACCATGTGGAAATATATACCAGTAGCCAAATACTCGAAACGCGTGTGGATTATAGATGTGGAGGAAAAACCGTAGGACCCAGAGAAAAATCCACACGACTACGGGGAGAGAGAGAGAGAGACACGCACACTCCAAATATACAGCATAAGTCACGTAGGTATAAAATAAAATAAATCACGACGTTTCGGGCGCAACACAAGCGTCCGTCATCAGGTGGGACGACCACAGCAAGAGACACATTGCTGAAGTGGGCAAAAGGGCTGCTGTAACAAGAGGCTCTAGAGGTAAGAGAGGGGGGGAGGAGCAAGAGGGGGAGAGATAGAGAGGGGGGTGTGTGGTAGGGGAGTGCTGCCAAAACGTTTAGAGGAGGAGCAGACAAAATTCCGGGGGGGGTGGGGGAGGAAGTGGGCGGGGCTGGGAGTAGGGAGTTGAAGCAACAGGAGATACGGAAATGAAGGCAACACTATGAAGCAGTTAAGGTTTTACCTGGTTAATAACATCCTTCCAATGATTGGTCAATTTGTATCTATCTTCTCGGTTGAAGTTGTGTCTATGTTTATATATCTGGATGGCTTCATGAACAAACCTTTGATAGTAGCCCGAAGGTTTGCAGAGTACCTTGGTCTCGGAAAAAAACAATATCACGAGAACCCACAGCGTTATAGCAATGGTCAGCCATGGCGAAGGTATTAGTCCTACCGTGTTTCAGATCTGACTTGTGCTCGCGAACACGGTCCGAGATATGTCGTTTAGTTTCCCCAATGTAACACCCACCACAGCTGCAACTTAGTTTGTAGACTCCAGGGTATTGCATGTCAGGAATGACATCCTTCACAGATGGGATTAGATCACGGATTTTGTGTACTGAATTGGACCTGGATCTTGTGTTTGTTTAAGATTTTGGAAATATTTTTGGTAAGGCCTGCTATGTATGGTAACGTGATGGTTTTTATTGGCGTCTCAGGGGGTTGTTTCTCCATGGTTAGAGAAACAGCTTTGCGAATAATGCGGTCCGAGTACCCATTCATCTTGAGGGCCTGGTGTACGTGTTCCAGTTCATTGGCTAGGTGGTGTTGGTCACCTAGCCAGTGAACTGTGCCAGATGGTGGTGGGAATCAGGTTTCAGATAGGAATTTGTGTGGGTGGCTTTCCTGTAGACAGTGTCCCAATGAGCCAGCAGGTCTATTCTCAAACAAAACATCCAGGAATGGTAGCTTACCATCCTTCTCCACTTCCATGGTGAATTCGATGGATGGGTGTAAGGAATTAATGTGGTTGAGAAATTGGTTCAATGCTGGCAGGCCATTTGGCCAAATGACGAAAGTGTCATCTAGATATCTCTTCCACAAGGAAGGACGTAGGGTGGATGTCAGGATGGCATCTGTTTCAAATTTCTCCATGAAAACATTCGCTATCACTGGTGATAAGGGGGAACCCATGGGGGTACCTTCATTTTGTTTGTAGAAAGTACCATTCCAGGTGAAGTAAGTGTTGGTAAGGCAGTGCCTAACCAGAGTAGGAACATCAGGGTTCAGTCCCTGTTGGACTAAATCTTCAATTATTGCTAAGGTGTCAGGCACAGGTACCTTGGTGAACAGAGAAACTACATCAAAGCTGACGAAGAACCAAAGAGTATGGATCCCTGTAGTCACGAAAACTAAAAAAATAGATTATACAGCATGATAATAGCTTTTACCCTTTCCAGTGTCACCAGTGTCAGACCAGGGAACTCCAAAAGGCGACCAGTACAAAGACAATGCACATATCAGAACATTTACAGCTCGGGTTGAGCAGCTACAAAATGGGACCTTTTTGCCAGTATCAAAGTGTGAAAAAATAAGAAGAGGTTTTACCCTTTCTGGCAATAAAACAGATGTTAGATGCTTAAACACCAAATAGAAACCTTTTTTAAGGAATGAAGTTCGCATTAACCACTCGTAACCACACCACACATTTATGAATACTTTGATACTGGTGTAGTGTTTGACTTTACACGGACAACTTTATTTACAACATTCAACATGTCCTCCACACTCCACAGTATCCTGGTCACCACGGCTCTGCCCGTCTCGCTCACCACCTTTGTCTCTCTCCGTCTCAGCAACTCCGCGACTTTACACGCAGGGTCTTCGCACACAGCGACTTAAGCTCCGCTATCACTACGCTCACTCCACTGCTAGATATCTCGTTCACTATAACTCTGTTAACTCTGCTGTCTCTGCTCAGCTCCGCTTTGCTCTCTCCACTGCTGGCTATTCTCCTCAGCTCCTCCGCACACAGCGCCTTCAACTTCAACCCATCTCCAAGCTCTTCACCATTCAACCGTTTGTCAACCACCTCAGTTGACTCCGACTCCCGATCTTATACCTGCTCTCATTACACCCCCAATTATTTAACCCACGTCTCAACCGAGGCTCCGCGTGACCATTGCACCTGTTTCTCGCCAGACTTCTCGACGCCTCTCCAGCCCCAGCAACAGTACCAACCAATCACCGCCGTTGCTGATCTTCTGGCTTAATTGGCCCAACCGTTACCTCATCATTTCAGCCTTTGCACCTGGCTGTCCTAAGACGACCCACACTGTTTACGCCTTCTCCACAGGCTGGCCCCAGATAACCCCACACTGTCCGTGTGATCATGCAATCGCGCAGTTTCCACAACACACCTTCATACTCCACTACTGGCAAAAAGGTACCATTTTGTCCAAATGTACAGTTTGGAAACATGCAATCTCCATTGTCGGTCGCTGAGGGCGGCGGAGCAGAGACTGGGGAGCATAGAAGAAAGTACGGGACACGGCAGAGTAACGCCCGGGTTTACGATGCGTTCCTGAAAGGTGCGACGACGGATATGGAAACGAGGTAAATCAAAGCAATGCACAGTAGTCAGTGGTGGAGCCGAAGGCTGAGAGGCGACGGACACGAGAAAGGACGAAACGCATGTTTATACATTTGGAGGGGGAAAAACAGAGGACTACTGGAGAAAAGTACACACGACCACGGGGAGGACATGCAAAGTTTAAATATACAGCAGGCGTCAGGGTAGGGAATCGAACCCACGACCTCCTGTATACCGGGCGATGTAGTTAACATCTCGCGACCACGGCACCCCAGAAAATGGGTATCAGCAGGTTTGCTCCTGCCTTCATAATTTAGTTTGAAATACAAAATATATATTTTTAAAAGTATAAAGCCGCCTCTCTGCATTGCGCACGCCGCTCACGGGACGCGGATGGGAATTGTGATTGTGTGCGAGTCACAGCTGCTGTGCACTTTTACATCTACAGATTTACAAACTCATTTCTGTGGAACTGCTTCATGTGTTTAGTGTATCATGCCCCTGCCCCACACCTCCGATCGGCACGGGTGGCTTCATACGGTGTGAAAGAAGTTCAACATACGTACATATCCTACATACTTGTTAGATTGCATTATCGCCCCCACCCTCTCTCTTTCTGCCTTTCTAAAAAAAATACGGTAAATCCCTTGCCAACCGCGGGGTGTTATGTTCATGGAAAAGGCCGCTTTAGGCAAATCCGCCGTTGGTAAAGTACAGGGCCTTTGGGAAATATGGGGTTAAGGGAGCCACAGTCGCTCACCATAGCTTACCTAAGTTGCCTGATTGTTAACTAAACACCGAATGACATACATTTCATTACACAATAGCATAATAAAACATGAATACACATTACATTAACTTGACAGACTTTTAATAATCTCGATGACAATGAGATTATGGGTGAAGAGGTGGCTATAGGGAGCTAGGGCTCAGCCCACCCTCCCCCTCTTGCTTTGGGTCACAGACACAACTCTCTCACCACGTACAGGCCTAACACTTGCACTTTACCTTCATATTAAAGGTATGTAAAAGCTCTCATAGTGCATTTTATGTGTACTGTTCGCCTTTTGGCGTTCTCTCGTCTGACACTGGTGAGACCAGGCCGTAAAGAAGGCCCTCTATGGTGCTGGAAAATCAGTTTCAAAGACAACGCATATATTATCAGAGCATGCTTGTTTGCATGTTCACCACAAGTACGTGTGCTTAATGCAGACACGATTCCTTGCAAAAGGTTTATTTCGGTGTTTGAACACCTCTTTTAGTGCCAGAAAGGGTACAAATCTATTCTTATTTCGTCATACTTTTATGCTGTAAAAAACAGTCCCATTTTGTAACTTCCACTTTGCTCTCACCTGCATTGCCCTTGCACCTTTTTCTCACCTTCACCACTCGAGGGGCACGCTTCGGGTCCATGAACAAGGACACAACGAAGGTGAATGCGTTGCGGCGCGCCAGTGACAGCGCGTTGCGGAGGACACCGACGGACAGGCGATCGAGACACGCAGCGCCGCGGGTAGCCGCGGGCGGTGGCGGTTGCTGCTGGGGCTGCTGCTGCTGGGGCTGCTGCTGCTGGGGCTGGGGCTGCTGCTGGGGCTGCTGGGGCTGCTGCTGGGGCTGCTGGGGCTGCTGCTGGGGCTGCTGGGGCTGCTGCTGCTGCTGGGGCTGCTGCTGCTGGGGCTGCTGGGGCTGCTGCTGGGGCTGCTGCTGCTGGGGCTGCTGCTGCTGGGGCTGCTGCTGCTGCTGGGGCTGCTGCTGCTGGGGCTGCTGCTGCTGCTGCTGGGGCTGCTGCTGCTGCTGCTGGGGCTGCTGCTGCTGGGGCTGTGGCACGGAGGAGGAGATCCGCCGCGTGGCGAAATTCGCCAATTCGCGACGCGGCGGATCCCCGCGCCCGCGTGTAACAGAGGCAAGGACGTCACGCAGCGCAAAGATGTCACGCTGCAATGCAACGACGCAATACGGCACGTCGTGTCACTTCCTTGACACCGTGTCTGCCCGCGGCCGATACTCACATTTCCAGGCCGCGACTGGCGAATTGATATACAAATAACGCAAACCGTGTATGCATGAAACCGCGGTTGGCAAGTCCGCGGTTGGCGAGGGATTGCCTGTGTGCTACACACGATCACCGCCCCCACGGCAGTGGCGGGGTATTTGATCCAATCTAT